CACACACACACACACACACACACACAAATACACACATACTAACGGCGCGCGTGCACAAAAAACCATTACAAACTCTCAAAATGACACCCAAGCCTATAACGGATAACATCAATTTGATTTATGGGAGACAAACAATAATCTACTTAGATAAACAAAATAACTTGTTCCTCTCTCTAAAACGAAACATGGCGTGAAGAGCATAACAAGAAAAGGACACATTAAATTAACTAAAAGGACATCATTTTTATATTATTCATGATGGCGCTTTATTGGCACAATCACACCAATGCATTGGTTATGATTATCATATTCATAGTAATCATAGAATCCCTAAATCGACTGAAGCATATTAAGCCACACGTTTAATGTTAAACTCCTCTCATTCTTCTTTTTCGCTGGAGAAATATTCTCCATTGGGTGGGTGGTTGGAGGACGCCACTGGTAGATCCTACCTCTTTACTCTCTCTCTCTTTTGTTTCTGTCTGTCAGTCTTACGTTCTTTTTCCTAGCGCTAGATGACCGTTATTGTGTCGATGTGTTTCTCTTTACTCAACAACATAATACTATTTTCCTCTGCAGATGTATTGGACATCGTCAGACTTTGACGGACGAGCAATTATTAAGAGAATGCCTAGTAATACTATTTATGTACTTAGGTACCGGTGTCTATGGTGTAGCCGTAAGGCGCTTCGCTGTTGCTGGCAGGAGACTCAAGTTCGATTCACTCAACCCAGTTTGGACCTGACAGGCAGGATTGGAAGCCCACCTCCTAAATGATCTAAATTGTGTAAATGGGTCTGAAAAACCCACCTAAATAAAATAAATGTGTGTGTTTAGGTGTTGTTCTAGTCTCTTTCTCAATTCTTTTATTTGATTTTTTAAATATTTATTATACCTTTTTCTCTCCTTCAGAGATGTACGTGAGCAAGCAATGCGTGGTGCGGACCAACAAGGTAGCGCCTGTCATCATCAAAGATTGCAGAGAGGAGTTCCAGCAGATTCCAGACTTCAACGAGCCTATCGTTAAAGGGAGGTTTGCAGATGGCATGTTGGAGCACCCCCTCATCAAGGTTAGTAGCGTAGCGCCTGTCGTATAAACAAGTATTTTCTTATTGGGACATAAACGAATCAATACAAAGGTTGATTAGTAATGAATGAATGAATCGATATGAATGAATGAATGAATGAATGAATGGATGGATGGATGGATGGATGGATGGATGGATGGATAGATGGATGGATGGATGGATGGATTCATTCTTAGAATTACATTTTAAAATCTAGGTGTTACAGTGAATGAAAAAAATACAAATGACATCAGACACACAGAGGTGCACAGTTTTAGTAACATGTTGAGAAAATGCCTTCAATTTCTTCTTGATGCAGTTATGATGATAAGTAAACGGAAGATTTTAAGCTTTCAATGCAAAGAGAACAAAATGCATGGAATGATCTAAAATAGTAGTAAATATCTTTTTGCTGTAAGAAAACAAAAGTCAGAAGATTAAATAAATTGAAAAATTCAAATATCTCGGAAGTACTGTAATATTTATGTCCCGGTCACAAAGTGAATTGCAAAAATATTAATAATATCAGATATGCCGATGACACAGCTTTAATAGCAGACAAAGAAATGGACCTTAAATCGCTTCTAGATACTGTTGTAACAGAAAGTGAACGCAAAGGACTGATGATGAATGTAAAGAAAACAGAATGTATGGTAATATAAAAAAGCAGCACATCCTATTTGTAATCCCATTAGCAAAAACGAAAAGATCAAACAAGTCCAACAGTTTAAATATCTAGGGTATATAATATCTGATGCCAAATGTTACTCAGAAATAAAACAGAGAATTACAATGGTTAATGCTAGTTTCAATAAAAAAAATTAGCACAATCCTGAAAAATAGAAACATCTCAATGACTGCCAAATGAAAAGTTCTGAAAATCTCTTTATGGTCTACCCTTTTATACGTCTGTGAATGCTGGACAATCACTGAAAGCTGTGAGAATAAAATAGAAGCAACTGAAATGTGGTTTCTTATGAGACTACTGAGAATATCGTGGAAAGAAATGAAATCAAATGAGGTAGTGCTTGAAGAGGCCCACGAAGGACACTCACTGTTAAAAACAATCAGGAAGCGACAAATGAAGTTTTGGGGACACCTGAATAGACATAAAGGTCTTGAACATCTAGCTCTCACTGGCAAAATTGAAGGCAAGCGAGGTAGGGGTAGGCCCAGAGCCACCTACTTAGGGAACCTAAACAAATGGGGAACGAGGAAGGATCAGGGAACCGTTGCTTTTTTAGAGCGTCCGAGCATGGGAATGAATTGAGAACCATGATCGCCGATGTCTGTCGCAGATCTGGCACTGGATGAACGAATGACATTTTCTGTACCACAGAAGTAAAACGGAAAATCGCAACACTAGCTAACAATTATTTCAATAAAAGGCTCAGGGATTCAATCCTTATATAACAGAAAATCTCAATCCCCCACCGAAGTAAAGGTTTCCGCCCTTCCGTACGCTGTGATGAAGGCTGGACAATTCCCAAGGATACTGAAAATGAACTTGAAGCAAAAGAAATGTGGTTTCTCAGGAGACTGTTGGGAGTTTCGTGGAAGCAAAACTAATCTAATGTAATTCTTTAAAAAAAACACCAAGGTCACTAGAAAAGACCCCATAGGGAACAAGACCATATGTCTACAAACCGGATACCACCAGTAATAAATTCCATTGAGCGTCAAAGAGTCAATTAATGGTTCGGACATCTAACCAGAATGTCCCAGAAACAACTCGCGGCAAGAAGTGAATCTGGCTTCAAATCAAAAGGAATACCAAGAAGGACCTGGGTGGATGGGGTAAAAAAGGTTCTGGAACAACATACGATAATATCTTTCACAGACGCCATGCACATAGCACAGGACCGGTACCTGCACCTCCCCTTGACATCCTAAGGATACCAGAGGAAGTAAAAGTAAAAGTAAGCTGAAAGAAGTCTGAGTGAACCACGAGGAAAAAGAGAACAAAACACAGCTGTATGCAGTTTCTGGTACGCTTGAATAAACATAAAGGCCTTGAACACCTTTCTTTCATTAGCAACAAAGTCAAAACAGGGAGTGGTGGACCAAGACCAACACAATCAAAATACTCAAAACACCTGAGGGGGCTCTCGTGGCCTAGAGGTTAAGGTGTTGGCCTCTCCTTCAAAAGGTCCCAGGTTCGAATCCGGGTAGCGACAGAAAAATTTTCTTCTCTAAAATTGTCTCTCCTTTCATCTTCTTTCCTGCTCTCAAGCAATGTTCTGTTGTCTGCTTTGATTTCCACTTTCTGCCCCCACCCCCTCACTCCTTTGCCCCCTCCTCTGGGCTCCTGACTCTTTCTGCAGCCTTTCTACTGTTACTCCTTGGCTCCTCCTTACCGCTGTCTTTCTGCCACACCCCTGATCTTCTGGTAGGAAAGATCTACACCTAGCCTTCTCGGAGGGCCCGTGTGCAAGTTGCGCACGTTAAAGATCCTTTGGTGGTCTAAAATCCATAAGAGTAGGCTTCAGCCGCCATCCGGGCAAAATTACAAAATATCCTACCAACTGAAAATATTAGGTGTGTCCCGCGCGCTCATATGACTTAATGCAGTTGCGAGAGCCGTAAAACACTTTACAAAAACAAAAACAAAACACCTGAACAGATGAGTGGCAAGGAAAGACCTGGTCAATTAAGGTCAGTACGAAATTAAGAGACGAACCATGATTACTGGTATAGGTTTCAGAGCTTGCACTCCATGGTGATGATGATGAGGTGCCTTTGTTTTAGTTATTTTACTAGTCAATATTGTCAATTCTTGTTATTGTGCGACATTCACTATTGAATTGTGTTCTGTTCTGTGTATGTGTATTTATTGTTTGTATTAGTGTGTGTGTGTATGTGTGCACGTGTGTGTGTGCATGTGTGTATGTGTGCGTGTGTGTGTGTGTGTGTGTGTGTGTGTGTGTGTGTGTGTGTGA